TTAGAAATTTGTATTAGATAAATAAGCACCTATTCATAACGATGCAGTAAAATTTTTTAAATAAAGTTTTTTCTTCTAAAATGTGTAAGTGGTTTAAAACTAAATATCTTGCACGTGCATGAGGTTGGCATCTTGATTATGGTTTCACGTGTTTTGTTGTAATGTCAACCAGCTTTAAAATAATGCCTTACGATAAGATCAATAGATTGGAGTAATCTAATGATGGATAAATGCTGCTTAAGTTCTAATAATGTTGGGCTTATTCGCTAAATTTTTTTTTTCTTTTATTCTGGTAAACTTTCTCATCTTTTCTTTTCCTTCCTTTTCATTTTTTTCTTGATTTTCCATGGATTAGTTTGATTCCTGTGCATGTGTTGGTAATTGCTAATGTGAAAGCACCATCAATAACTCTACTATACTGCACTGGCAACCATTTAAAAAACCTCATAACTGTGCAGTGTATTACATACAGTGCATGTTTGTAGTATTGTACTAAAAGTTAAAAAAATTATATTTTTATATCTTTTGTAAAGAAATTTGATTCATTAGTAACAAGTTTGCACAATTTAGGACAGTAACTTAGGATGTCACTACAAGACAGGAGCACATCTTAAACACAATTAATATGATTTGGACTTCAATTTATGGTGCCAAGTGCAGTACTGTTCATCTACTGCCCTCTTTCTATTCAATCTTTCTATTTTCTATTCTATATACCATTACCAATGTATCGTTGTGCTTTCTAACTGCAGAGTTTGTGCCAGCTGTGATTGGTAATGGATAGTAACCAGTAGATGCTAACACCAGACTAACAAGCCTTGTAGTGGTTACTTCTCTGTGATGTACAATCTGTGTTGGGTTACACTAGTAGCACTGTACCACCTTATATGGCATGTACCTGCATTGCATGACTGCACTGTTCGGAGATTTTACACCTTGATCAGTGGATTATATTGCAGTTTGATGTGGAGGGATGTACCTACTTGACAGATCTATATACCATGGACAAGTACTGTACAGTCATTGTAGACACCTCAACATGATGCAGAATTGTTTTTGTTCCTTTGATATTTGTCTACTCTTCATTACTCTGCTTAATATGCAAGACTTTTTTGATCCCCTTGGTGTCTACACTGACAGGGTTTGACTGTAACAAAGAGGGAAAGCTTTCTAAATCAGGCTTGTGCTACTTTCATTGGTTGACTGAGAAACATTCACTGGAAAATAGTATACATCAGGCTACATCTTCAGTTAGCCATTGTAAATCATACATGTATTAATTGAGGAAGAAAAGCTTTAAAAAACAATGAATTCTTTAAGTATGAAAATCTGGCTTGGCGCTGTTTGCTAACATCACCAAATCCTGCAAATTGATTAGGACCACAAAGAAATTGACCTACAAATGCATCGATTATATAAATAGTACTATGAATAATGTTAAATACTATTGGCCTACAAATAGTGAGAATAAAATATAAAGGATTCCTTGATGGGAAAATGAAAATTAAGATTTTCACAAAAAGAAAAGCAGTGCTTTAATACAATAATAATAATAGTATTTCAAAATGAACTATTTCATCATTCTTGACAATCATCTCAAGCGACAATGAAATTTTGCTTTTTCCTAAGCTAAAAATTATTTTGTTTTTCATCAGATACGTTCAATTAATAATAATATTTTTCTATTTTATAGAATCAAGAGAAAATATTTAAGTGTAGGATATATTTTTGTATCATTAAGTTAAGCTAAAGGATTTATTTATAAAGCATTAGAATGAGCTTGTGCAAAAAATTAAAAACAGCTACTAAATATTTGTGTTAACATCGATTTAAAGGTTACGATAACATATCCAGATACTTTGATGATTTATGGAAATTAGCCTGACCCCACCCATCCCTATAGATGCCCTTCCCTGACCCCACCCACTCCATAGAAATCCTGACCCAACCCATTCTCATAGGACTCTCGACGTGATAACAATGGCTGAAAAGAAGCCATTTTCTAGTAACCTACATGTACCCTGACCACACCCCTCACTATAGGGGTATCACATTGACCCCTTCTATATGACTATTATGCCGTAAAGTCTCCAAATGAATAGCAGTTTCCTTTACTTTTAAGTGTGCTACTGACATGATCACAATTTATTTCTGTGATTTTAAATCAAATAGTATGAAAAAAATAATAAATATTTACAAATTGTGATGAATTATAAAATTCAGCCTGCCTAAAGTGATAAACAATAATTCATATCTTTGATAAGTATATTCTATTCTGTTTTGTTTATTTTTGTCTGCTATATTCTATTTTCCTATTTTGGGATTTTAAAGTCTAATGTGAATGGGCATGGTATCCTCATCTTCCAATAGAGGTTAATTGATGATAGGCTTCACTTCCCCAAAAACTCTTATACAGCTATTTCTTTTTTTAAACTTGAAGTTTTAAATGGTTTCGTTGACTACAAACAACACTAAATATCTCAACAACAACATCTGTGTTATTGACAACAATAATGATACAATTCATTCCAGCTAGAGGGAAGTCATTAAACCCGTGAAATAGATGTTAGACTAATACACATTAGTAGATACTAATTCCATTGTCTTCTTTTGTGTCCATTTGACTATTACACATTGACTAGTATTTTGTATTTCACGGGTTAAACTTATATTTATATAACTTATACAGGGATAACTTATCTGTCCTATCACTTATTGCCTACTGCTTATTTCTTATCACCATCCACCCCTTCCACCTTTTTTGAAATAGCTGTATAAAAAGTGCTATATATACACATACATGTACACAGGCCCCTTCCCACCTATAGGTAATTCCAATCCTGGTACAACTGATTATGGTCTTACTTGGCATATCTGTTTTTGATTCAAGGGTATTGCTGAGTAGAGTTTAACGCCTACGTAAATCAACCACTTCTACTTTTGTGGCATGCTCCCATATCACATGGTCACTTTCCTGGTAAATAATCACACAACCCTTAATTGATAACTGCATAAAGTAGTCGACAAGTTGTAACTGTAATGAAAAGTAGTCCTCTCAAGGAAAATGGAAATGAAATAAGGTGGGAAGACCAGAGGTTGTTTCAGGGTTCAATCTGTGAGTTAGCCATGCCCTGACTTAKATCAGCCCAGAGGTTGTTTCAGGGTTTGATCTGTGAGTTACCTGTGCCCTGACTTAGATCAGCCCAGAAGTTGTTTCAGGGTTTAATCTGTGAGTTAGCCGTGCCCTGACTTATATCAGCCCAGAGGTTGTTTCAGGGTTCAATCTGTGAGTTAGCCATGCCCTGATTTAATTAGATCAACCCAGTCAAATTGTTTCAGGGTTCAATCTATGAGTTAGTCATGCCCTGACTTAGATCAGCCCAGAGGTTGTTTCAGGGTTCTATCTGTGAGTTAGCCATGCCTTGACTTAGATCAGCCCAGAGGTTGTTTCAGGGTTCTATNGTTCTATCTGTGAGTTAGCCATGCCTTGACTTAGATCAGCCCAGAGGTTGTTTCAGGGTTCTATCTGTGAGTTAGCCATGCCTTGACTTAGATCAACCCAGAGGTTGTTTCAGGGTTGATCTGTGAGTTAGCCCTGCCCTGACTTAGATCAGCCCAGAGGTTGTTTCAGGGTTTAATAAAAGGTTTCTTTACCTGGTAGAGAGGTGGTTCTTTAGGATGAGGATGAAAGCCTGACTTCTTGCAGGAAGAAATAAACTTGAGGCCATAGCCTTGAATAAGAGAAAATACACCAGTTCTGCAAGTGGGAAAAAATACAAAAAAATGAAATGATAGGAAAGTGAATGCAAAGATGAAAGAAAAATGGATGGGAATCAAAATACTGGGAAAAGAAAAGTCAAATATACTTGACAACAGTTAAATTACTTACTCATTAAATTTAGGAGAGCAGACAATTGCTATAGCTTCTGGCATCATTAGTTGATATGAACAGTGAGTGTGGAGGTCAACACTAGACATGAATGCCGTCTGGGATGGGTGGGTCTGCAATAATATTAGCAAAACATGTAGATAATGTAAGTTATGAATCAACAGCAGCATCATTGTCATGATAATAGCCATGATTATCAAAATCTGTCATCACAATCATCCTTCATTATATTATATAAAGCATCTATTAAGGCTGCATTCATAATGTATGGCAGGAGGGGGGCAGGTGAAATCTTTAAATGACAAAAAAATTCTTAAGACCCCGCCTTGAAGTCCCCCCAAAAAATAACTATCCCTCCTGGGCAATCTCTCTTAGTTTTCTTTTAAAAATTTTACATCCCCCCAATTCTCTGAAAAAAATTTTTTTAACCCCCCCTCCCCCCCCCATTTTATTGGTTAAACTCATCACACGTAGATGAGCTTGGCGTTGGTGCTTGGGTGGGAGGAGCCTCGGGAACTCGGCGGAGGTCAGCGGTAACTATGGCAACCCTGTCACCTCCCACCTAGCACCGTCACACTGACTTGGCAGTGGAATACTTACCTATACTTACCTTAGTGGAGGGTGGGTGGGAAAACAAATAGCGTTGGTGTAGCGTACAAACTGCGTAAGCTAGCGTTAGCGATATGAGATAGCGCATAGCGTTAGCGAAATCGGATAGCACGTGGCATTAGCGAAATTGGATAGCACCCGATGCAAGCTTCGTCCCCAGATACCATCTGTTCATCATTCATCTCATTGCGTGAGACATTAATTTGCTTATCAGATGGCCGCGAAGCTATAGCCTTTTGATGACAGATACTTGCGATAACAGGCAACTTAGTTCAAGTCTAACTTTGCTTAAATATTTTATTTAACCACATTAAAAAWTTTTCCGACCCCCTAAATTTCACCTGGCCTCCCCTCTGCCATACATTATGAACGCAGCCTAAGCTATAGATTAATTAATGACCGATATAATCTTACATGTATCCAGCCAAGAGTAATAAGATCATGAGAGTCTTGGAACTCAAATAAGTCTTCTTCATTAAGAGTTGTACAGGAGTCAGGAGTGGCAGATTGTTTGGGGATAACAAGATGCGTTATGTAGAACTTGTTTTGTTTCTAAGTAATAAATGAATAATGTATTTTTAGTAAATGATTTCTAGATTACTGTGCGGACACACCAACTGGGGCCACTTGAATAAAACTGATCAGATAACAGCCAGAGATTGAACTGATAACAGTGTTAGCCAATCAGATTATCACGTTCTCACGCTCTTATTATATCAATGTGCTATCTGATTGGCTGACTAAGAATATTGTATTAAATGTCACAATATGATTGGTTAATGAACTAGTTTATCGAAGTGGTCCCAGTTGGAGTTGGAGTAGATTTTTATGGAGGGAGGAAAACTGGAGAACCTGGAAAACCATCGAAGCACAGGAGATAACCTACAAACAACTCTACTCACATACAAAACCAAGCTCGACGGGACTCGAACCCAGGTGGCATTGATGAGAGGCAAGCACTCTTACAGCTGCACCACCTATACTTCCCCAAGACTTGGAAAAGGTCTATTTTTAATACTATTTACCAGTTTTCCAGTCAATATTCCACAGGTTTCTTTATTCTGTCTTGTATTAGGAGAAGCTATCTCTAAGAACAACCTGGCCAGATCAGATGGTACACTTACTGCCCTAAGACCACTCTCTGGTAATACAATAGATATAATGGTTATATGACATCTTATAGTTACTAACATGTGGGCAACTTATTTTCTGCTGGGCACCCTGTGTCAAGTACCACAGGTAACCCAAACTATAAAATGTAGAGGTAAAAATAATTTATTTTACTACAATAATGCAGGAAGTTATTTCTTAAGAAAATTTTCTCCTGAGCCAGAGGCTCATGTATAAAGGGTTGAAAGTGCACCCTTTACCTCTTCAGGCTATTAGTGCTCCTTATTAAGGGTATTTAAAGCTAAAGCTATATAGAACAGGGAAAAATCGAAAAAGACGTGAAGATCCATGTGTAATTTAATTTCTTACTACAGGTAGAGTCAAGTGGCTTGGCTGATCTGTCTACTGATGGTGGTCTGGAAATTAGAATTGAATTAAAAATAGTCATGTCATGTGTCATCATCTCTAAATAAAATTATCATCATCATATCACCATCCTCCTCATCATCATTGTCATCATTATCATCATCATCACAATCATCATAACCATCATCATCACAATCATCATTATCATCATCACCATCATCATTGTCATCATCACCATCATCAACACCATCACCATCATCATTGTCATAATCACCATCATCATCAATACCATCATCATCTTTTGTGATCAGCATCATCATCATCATCACCATCGTCATCATCATCATCATCATCACCATCATCATTGTCATCATCACCATCATCAACACCATCACCATCATCATTGTCATCATCTTTTGTGATCAGCATCATCAGCATCATCAGCATCTTCATCATCATCACCATCATCATCATCGCCATCATTGCAATCATCATCATCATTTTTTTTATTTTTTTTTAAACATACTGTATATAATTCTGATTAGAAATCACAACTTCCACAAACCTAGTATCCACCGAATACAAACTAGGTGTGTCTGGCCTCCGTAATGGTATGTCCTCAGTATTAGGTGTTATATGTTCTCTCTCGTTACCCTCATTCTTGATACTGCTCTCGTCAACCTGCCCTAGTGTGGGTGGTATGGGGAAATCTCCAATGAGTGTTGACTGTAAGGGAGGAGGGGTGATAATCTTGGCAACATCTGGAGGCTTAGTGGGAACTGCATTTTTTTTCTTTTTCTCTCGGTCTTCCAGTTCTTGTACCATTTGTTGTTCAGCTTGTTTTCTTTCTTCCTCTCTTCTTTCCTCTTCTTTCTTTCGCCTCTCTTCCTCTTCTGCCAACTGCAGGATATGAACTTAATAAGATCATTAATGTAATAAAAAAATATCTATGATAAAATATTGTGTCAAACTACCAGCATCTTGAAGTGAGATTACATCCACTCCCATTTCCAAAGTGACATATTATGAAGAAACTCCACATTGGTGCGTTGCTATTTCCCACTAAATTGATCTTTATCCAATTCCCAGTACATAATATTTTATTTTCTAATGCAGAATAAACTGTGAAAATCACAGTAATAATCAAGAACTTCCAAAATTTCATAATTATAAAAAAGAAAAAGGAAGAAAGGTAAACTAATTGTTTTGCAGTAAATCCGTGAAAGAAGTCTAACTTCCATCAATCTTAGCACCAAGTATTATAACAGCTGTTCCTTGAGGTCTTGCCTGTCCTACATTTTGTCTCTCTATTTATAAGCCCTTCACAGCCTTCTTTAATATATTTTTAAATAAGATCATGTTATGTTACCTTATTTCAATAATAATAGCCTAAATATCCATAATTCTGCTTATCCTACCTTAGTTTCAGGATAGTGAGTTAATGTTGGAATCTCACAATTCAAGCCATGAACGAACAACTTCATTATAAGGCACCACAACATATTTAAAAGTTCATTAACAGTTTTCTTCATGGAGAAAATAAAAACTAGTCCTTTGAACATCAGATACCCTAAACAGCTACCAGGATTCTTAGAAAACTTTTGAGATTCTTCCTCAAGCATTGTCAACGTTGAATGGAACACACATATTTGGTTCCAGGTGTACTTAAACAGATGTAAAAGAAAGCTATGTAACATGAAAAATCTTGAGGAAAAACATATTTTAAATGTTGTGCCAAAATATTTCTGAATACTTATTGAACTTTGTTATAAAATTGATAGAAAAAGATAAGTGGAATTTCTGAGTATGAAATGCTATTATACTTGGTATCAGCTAGTTTGCTAGGCAGGATATTAACAGAGCTAAAATGGGGGAGAATATATTAGCATTACTACCTGTTACAGGTCATGGAGGAGTATTGTCTATGATGAGATGTTTCCATGACAACAAGCTTTACTAATTCATAGAAGCTCATTAGTATGACTATATTAAACTAACTATTAAACAGATTGTTCTGTCAGTTTACTACATTCTAAATAAGACAGTCGACTAACTCAGTGGTAATCTGTACACTCAGTAACAAATTCATTTAAATCAATTTATTCCATTGTTTTTGTTTTAGTTGTCTAAAAGAAAGCTATCTGT